CAGCAGATCTGCGACGAGATATTATCTGGGTACTGCGAACACAGCCGTTTTTGTTTTGCAAGTCAGCAGGAAACAACTTGAAAATTTTCCGATATCACAAATTGTTTTGCTAATGCACTGCTCACAATTTGCATATACATGCTGTCGAAAGTTCACCCTTTGCTCAATAAATAACGTGTACATGGTGTTGGGAGTGCACCTACCCACATGACTCTTATAAAGTTTGTTTGCATTCTTCCTTCAGCAGTTCGTGCAGGTTCGTTCGTTCGTTACATTGTTTACATCCGAGTATTTGAGCAAGTTTTTTGTTGAAGAATATTAGTAAAAAAATGCCGAAATGACAATATTTTCAACATTGACCACAATACTTTCTCTGCCGACGGGGATTGTATGAGAAAAGTATCACTTTTAGCAGCTCTAGATCGTTGGATTCTTTTTGACAGCACCAGTTGGATTCTTTTTGACAACCATTTCGTGTTTCTCCGCACCACTCAGGATATTATCAAGCTAACACGACGACGGGAAAACTTTATCATCGCTGGCGACCTGAACGCCAAACATCAAGCTTGGGGCAACAATCGGCACAATCAAAACGGCACCATCCTGAACAACGACCTGCAGGAAGCGCAGTACAACATCTTGAGTCCGGAAACTCCCACCCGGTTGAGTCGGTCCGGTGTTCACGCTACCATCGATATCTTCATCAGCAACATGGGCAACAACATCGCTCAACCTATCACCTATCAGGAACTCAGCTCGGACCACTACCCGGTGGTGACTCAGGTGGGATCCTCCGTAAATCGATTTGAAGCTTTCCGGCGCAACTATCATCGTGTTGACTGGGGTCAGTTCCAACATTGTGTCGACACCGCTGTAGACTACGGTGTCCAACCGGAATCGTTCGAAGATGTTGACCGATGTTGCTTGACCATCGATCAAGCAATTTCCCGGGCCAGGGAGCTACATGTGCCAGTATCCAGACAGGTGAGTAATACTCTGAACTTTGACAGGCCTACTAAAGACCTCATTAGACTCCGCAACACGATTACTAACCTGAAGACCAATTGCAACTGTTTGAACAAAAGCATCCAAGCCAGGATGGTGGATCTCAGAAATATCGATTTTGCAAACAAGATTGTGCTAAGCCATTCTGGAAAATGGTAAAGATTTTGAAAAATAAGCCGAGGCCCATTCCTCCCCTTTCCTCTCCTAACCAAAATTCGGACCCATCTTTACTAATAACCCCATTTGAAAAGGTCAATGCTCTTGGACAACACTTTGTAAATTCACATAACCTTGGCCACGCCATGGTGAGTCCCCACGAGCCTGCAGTATCACAGGCAATGTCTAGAGTCGCTGCCACCCCCGTAGTTGTCCCTGACGAAAGTAGAATATCGGCTGATGAGGTGATAGCAGCGATTAAATCAACAAAGAACATGAAGGCCGCTGGTGTCGATGGAGTGGTCAACCTCGAGCTGAAAAACTTGAGTGTTGACTTCTTCAAGCACCTTGCAGTGGTCTTCAACAAGTGTTTAATGCTTGGCTACTTCCCTGCATGCTGGAAGTTAGCCAAAGTTATTCCAATTCACAAACCTGGCAAAGACCCTACCAGTGCCAAAAGCTATCGCCCCATCAGCCTCTTGTCATCCATCTCGAAGCTATTCGAAAAACTGATACTCAGCCGTCTGCTGGTGTTTTCAAATGATAATAACATCTTTCTCAAAGAACAATTCGGATTTAGGAAAGGCCACTCTACCATCCAGCAACTCGCACGGGTTAGTAACATCATCAAGCGGAACAAGTCCGTTTCGAATACATCTGCCATGGCATTGTTGGATGTCGAGAAGGCGTTCGGCAAAGTCTGGCATGATGGCCTAGTGTACAAGCTGCATCGATACAACTTTCCGATCTACCTCGTGAAGATCAAAAACTACTTGTCGGGCAGATCATTCCAGGTCTACTTGAACAATGTCCCCTCTGATACGTTCAACGTTGATGCAGGGGTCCCTCAAGGCAGCCTGCTTGGGCCTATCCTATTCAACATTTTCACGTCAGACGTTCCTCCCCTGCCGGGTGGTGGTATCCTGTCAATGTTCGCAGATGACACCTCCATCATCTATAATGGTCGAGTGATCCGTGCTCTGGCGAGAAAACTCCAATCAGGCCTGGATGTTCTGTCCGACTATTTTAAAAGCTGGAAGATTTGTATCAATGCAGCTAAAACACAGACCATCCTGTTTCCACACTCCAATTCACCCTGGCTTGTTCCGCCTGCTAACTCAAAAGTCCACCTTGATAACACTCCCATTGAATGGTCGAGTGAAGTCGTCTACCTTGGTCTCACCCTTGACAGCAAGTTGCTATTCCGGTCCCATGTGGACAAAACATCCACCAAGTGCAACATCTTGATTAGGTCGCTGTACCCACTTATCAACAGGAAGACCACCCTTTCCCTTAAAAACAAGCTTGCCATCCACAAGCAAATCATCCTCCCCACCATTGAGTACGGAACGCCAAGCTGGGAGAGTTGTGCTATGTGCCATCACCTCAAACTCCAAAGGATCCAGAACAAGATCCTTAGGATGAACGAACGGTCTCCATGGAAAGGGGTTCAGAGATACCTGTCTGAGATCAGATCATCAGATCATACGTGATCTGGCACGTTAGGTTAAGTTAGAGTCGTAGTTAGGTAGGTTATCAAATTTTTCAATTAAAACAAAACACACTCCCCAAGGGGTATTCTGCTAACTAGATGAAATACGCAAATAGTAAATTATCCAATTATCCAAATATGCAATGAACAAAGATGAATAGCCAGACAGGCTAATCAATTAACCTGTAAAATCAATGTATAAATCATAAACAACAGAAATAAACGAACATTTTACTACTACTACTAAAAGGTGTAGAAAACTGCAAAAAGGGCCAACAAAACGGAAATACAAACAAGGAACACTCAGATATTGTGGTAAAGGTTCGCCTCCTTTAGGAAGGTGATGAGAGCGGCTGCTGCCGGGGACTCGTCGCCCAACAGGTTCCGAATGCCGATTGACTCCAAGCCGAAGGCAGCCCGAAGGTCTTCCAACTCCACGCAGTTCACGAGGATGTGCTCCACGGTGGCTGGCACTCCGCAGGTTTCGCAGGTCCTCCGGAACGGTGTTCCTCCGAAGTTGTGGGAGACTCTGCTGTGCCCGGTGCGCAGCCTTGACACCACTCGCTGTTCTCGTAGGTTTGGTCGATCCTCCCAGGTTCCGGTGGTCGCCTTGATCTTCCGAAGATGGTGTGTCCTGTTGTTCCTCCACTCGGTGTCCCAGGCTCTCCGAATCGTCCGCTTGATTCACTTTTTGACATCTTGGAGCGGTACATTGCCGGTGGACCTGGGTCCGGTGTGGCCTGAGCCTGAGTTACGACTAATATCGGCCGGTTGGCCGGTAACTTAACCGAGTTGAGAATGGCCGCTGCCTCAACTGAGAACACCGAGCATTGGGTCGGGAGCGATCTGCTCACAAGCAGACCATCTCCGGAGACCCCCATTCCCACTCCGCTCCTGGAGAGAGAGCCGTAGGTCTACCTAACTGCATAACCTTGGTAGTGCGCCCCGAGAGTTTCGACAACTGTCCGGCGTAAAGCCAGCGAGTTGTCTCCTGCCCTGAAGCGGTCCTTGATTCGGCTGTCAATTTTGATCTTGTGCGATTGCCAACTTTTGTCTCCGTGCCAGTGGACCCTGGCCATTGGAGGGAGATCTACGTCGGCGGCCGTGCGAAGGAGTTGGTTTGCCTCGTCGAGGAGAACGATCCTGTCGCTTCCCGACGTTTTAGCGAGAAAGGCAGTAGCTGCGGTGAAAACGAGCCGAAAAGGTAGGATACCGGCTTCAACGCATGCAGCGTCGGCCGGGGTAGAGGGCAGGAGACCGGAGACTGTTCAACGTAGCCGTTGTACACCGGTTCCAGAATCTGGACGGCTTTCTCGGCGGCAAGGCATGTAATCTCTACACCGTACAGTAGGCAACCGTCGATGATGGCTCGAGCTACGCGGAAACGGATTTCGCGATTGTTGGATCGGTGGGGGCGGGAGATGGTCTTAATCAGGTTGGACCGACTGCGACAGTCCTTCTTTACTTGTTGGAAGTGCGGCTCAAAGGATAAATTGGTGGTACATATATGGCAGTGCACGCTCTTGCCAGCGGATAGCTGGAAACCAACAGAACCAGCCCATCTGACCACCGAGGAGACTGCCGCTTGCACTCTCAGTTTCGTCCTCTCCGTTACAATGAGCACGTCATCCGCGTAGACGAAGATGTAAACGTTCTTGGGTAGTTGGTCAAAGACCCCATTCATGGCCACCAGGAAGAGGGTGACCGCGATCACCGAATCCTGTGGCACTCCGGTTTCCTCACTGAAACTACCGAAAAGATCGGTCGGTCAGAAAGTTCCGGACGAAGTGAAGGATGTTTCCTTTCAGGCCCCAATCAGCAAGCTTCTTCAATATACATAGCTGGTGTCCATGTTCGGTTAAATGCTTTGGAAATGTCCAGCGAGACGATCTTCGCGTGATGACCTTGGTCCTTTGCCTCCTTCAGGACTTTCCCAAGAGTGGCGAAGTAGGTGGAGGTGCCATACCCTTGCCTGACGGCGTGCTGCCGATGGTCAAGCAGCCCCTTGGCTTCAAGATATTGCTTCAGCCTCCTGTTGACCATCCGTTCCAGGACTTTCGCCATGCAGCAGGTCAGTGCAATGGGACGGAACCCAGTGATGTCCTTGGTCCCGACATTGGTTTTCGGTAACGGTATAACGAGGATTTCTCTTTAGTTTTCCGGGTACTCTTCAGCGATCCAGAGTTGGTTGTAGAGGTCGAGAAGTTTCGTTTTGCCTTCGGATGGAAGGTGCTTTAGCAGCGGGTAGCCGATTTCGTCCGGTCCGGCCGAGTTGAAATCAGTTGCAGCAGTTACGCTTTCTGACCGGTGGGAATATTTTAACTATACACAGAAAATATGAATTGACATGGAGATCGAAGTAAGCCGCGCTTCGGAAATGACGTGTTTTTGTTTTGCTGCGTTATTTTCGCTCTTGCAAAAATTAAAATAATTACAAATTTGATCTAGAAAAAATTAAATTAAAAGCACAGAAGTAGTCTTAAAAACGGTTTCATGCGATAATTATCAAATCCCAAGTGTCCCTAGTGTTTGTCGAAGTGATCAATGATATGAGTCGAATGTAGAATCAAATGCTTCCTGTTCCGTTATATGAGGTGCCGTTTCGTCTAACTAAAGGCCGGCGCACAATAGATACGTTTTCAGGTTTTTTGACAGCTAGCCCATGCAAGGAAGATCGAAGACCTCTATGTGTTCGTGAAGGATAAGAACAACATACACAAAGAGGTCAAGCTACTAGCGACGGTCATCAAATCCGGGATAGCTGTGGCAGATCGGGAACTGCAAGAATGGAGAAGAAGAGCCGAAGCGGCCGAAAAGGCCCTGCTTGAGGCTAAGGAGAATGCAATGCTGGCTGTAGCGCAGGAGACGCCGAAGGGACCAACGAACCCACGTCCGGAAAAAAGAGATAGGGAAACGCCAGGAGATGAAGAGGACCCCAAAAAACACAAGGACGACGAATATGGGGACAAGGAGCAAGAAGATGGAGAAGACAATGATTGGCGTAAAGTCGAAAACCAGAAGGAGAAGAGGAAAAAACTGAAGGAAGAGGAACAAAGAAAGAAGGAACAGAAGAACAAGGAGGAGAAGGAAAAGAAGAATTAAGAGGAAGAGAAGAAGAAGAAGACGGAAGAGAGGAAGAAGGAAGTCAAGAAGAAGGAAAACCCCAGGCATCGTAGGGAGAGAAGTAAGGGCGACGCTCTGGTTATCGAGGCGAAAGATAAAACGACTTACGCAGCACTCCTCCGGAAAATGAGAGAGGATCCGGAGTTGAAGCAACTGGGCGAGAACGTGGTGAAAACCAGGCGCACCCAGAAAGGCGAGATGCTCTTCGAGCTGAAGAAGGACCCGTCGGTGAGGAGTTCAGCCTTCAAGGAACTCGTCGAGAAATCTCTTGGCGAGGACGCGAACGTAAGAGCCTTATCGCAGGAGTCAGTGGTCGAGTGCAAGGATCTGGATGAGATCACAACGGAAGACGAGGTACGATGTGCGCTGAAGGTGCAAGGCAATCTGTGAGATGTGCCTATGACAATCCGGTTGAGGAAGGCGTACGGTGGTACACAAACGGCGTCGATACGACATGCGACGGACGCAGCTAACGAGTTGCTGAAGACAGGACGAGTCAAAGTTGGGTGGTCAGTATGCCCCCTGAAAGCTATCCCTCGGGTTACCAAGCAAATGGAGAGATGCTTTAAGTGCATGAACTTTGGTCACCAGGCGAGAAACTGTAAAGGCCCTGATAGATCGGATCTGTGCAGGAAATGCGGAGAGAAGGGGCACGTTGCTAAAGACTGTATGAAGCAACCGAGGTGCATGCTATGCAGAAAGGAGGACGGAAACGGTCATATGACGGGAAGTTTCAGGTGCCCAGAGTTCAAGAAGGCGATGGTGGACCAGCAATAATGAAGGTAACCCAAATAAACCTCAATCATTGCGACATTGCTCAGCAACTGTTGTGGCAGTCGACAACGGAAACAAAGTGCGACGTTGCAATGATTGCGGAGCCGTATCGAGTCCCTCCCGATAACGATAACTGGGTGGCCGATAGAGCAGGGATGGCTGCTAAACACGTTATGGGCAGGTATCCCATACAAGAAGTGGTGACGAGGTCTTGCGAAGGTTTCGTGATCGCCAAAATCAACGGAATCTTCATGTGTAGTTGTTACGCACCCCCCAGATGGACGATGGAGAAATTCCATGAGATGCTGGATGGACTTACCCAAGAGCTGGTCGGACGACGACCGGTAGTCATCGGAGGAGACTTCAATGCTTGGGCAGTGGAGTGGGGAAGCAGATGGTCCAATGCAAGAGGGCACAGTCTGCTGGAAGCTCTGGCAAAACTGGAAGTTATGCTGGCCAATAAAGGCACCAGCAGCACTTTTCGCAGACATGGCCGGGAATCCATTATCGACGTTACTTTCTGCAGTCCGTCGCTGATGGCAAACATAGATTGGAGAGTGTGCGAAGGATATACCCATAGCGACCATCAGGCGATACGATATGGCATCGGCCAACGGAATACTGTGGCAGTACGGAGGACTAGAACTTGTGACCGAAAGTGGAAGACGAAGGCTTTCGACAAGGATTTGTTCGTTGAGGCACTTTGTGTGGACGGAAGTCTCGTAGATCTAAATGCGGACGAGCTGACAGAAACATTAGTGAGAGCATGTGACACGACCATGCCGAGGAAACTGGAGCCAAATAACAGACGGCGTCCAGTCTACTGGTAGAACGAGGCACTTAGCACTCTCCGCGCTTGTTGTCTCAGAGCCAGAAGACGTGTTCAGAGAGCAAGAACGGAAGCAGACAGAGAAGAACGAAGAGAAGTGTTTCGAGCGGCCAGGGCCGCACTTAAACGAGAGATTAAGCAGAGCAAGTCGAACTGTTTTAAGGAGCTGTGTCGAGACGCTGATGCCAACCCCTGGGGCGACGCATACCGAGTCGTGATGGCGAAGATCAGAGGTCCAACGATGCCCGCTGAAATGTGCCCAGAGAAGCTGAAAGTCATCGTGGAAGGACTTTTCCCGAAGCACGACGCAACAACCTGGCCACCTACACCGTACGGAGAAGGAGAGGGAGATAACGTCGAAGTCACCAACGAGGAACTCGTAGCGAAAGGATTGAAGGTGAAGAAAGCTCCCGGTCCGGATGGAATCCCCAACGTAGCGTTGAAAGCGGCGATCCAGTCATCCCCGGACATGTTCAGGATGGTGCTGCAGAAATGCCTGGACGAGGGTCACTTCCCTGGCAGGTGGAAGATACAGAAGCTAGTGTTGCTGCCAAAAACAAGGAAAACCACCGGGGGATCCAGCAGAGGATCATCCTAAACAGGCTGACGAAATACACGGAGTGTGAGCACGGATTGTCGGAGAGGCAGTTCGGATTCCGGAAAGGGAGATCGACGGTGGATGCAATTCGGACAGTGGTCGAGAGAGCTGAGAAGGCGTCCAAACAGAAGCGGAGAGGAGATCGATATTGCGCCGTGATAACGATCGACGTCAAGAATGCGTTCAACAGCGCCAGCTGGGAGGCCATCGCCGAAGCACTGCATAGAATGAGGGTCCCTGACTACCTGTGCAGGATCCTGAGGAGTTATTTGCAGAACCGGGTTCTGGTCTACGAGACAGACATGGGACAGAGATCGATTAGGATTACAGCGGGAGTTCCAACCCTCTGGAACGGGATGTACAACGGCGTGCTAACGCTGAAACTGCCCAAAGGAGTTGAGATCGTTGGCTTTGCGGACGACGTCGTCTTGACGGTAACAGGCGAGACGCTGGAAGAGGTGGAAGTGTTGTCAACCGAGGCAATTGACATGATTGGTAACTGGATGAAAGGAGCGAAGCTGCAAATAGCCCACCACAAAACGGAAGTGTTATTGGTCAGTAACTGTAAAGCGGTACATCGGGCGGAAATCACCGTCGGGGAGCACACCATAGCCTCGAAGCGTGTGTTAAAATACCTGGGAGTGTTGAGCGATGACCGGCTAAACTTCAACAGCCACGTCGAATATGCCTGTGAGAAGGCTTCGAAGGCCATCAACGCGATAGCTAGAATCATGCCGAACAACGCTGCTCCCAGCAGTAGCAAGAGGCGTCTTCTGGCCAGCGTGTCATCATCGATACTGAGGTATGGAGGTCCAGCCTGGGTTTCAGCGCTGGAAACGAAGCAGAACCAAAGGAAACTGAGCAGTACGTTCCGGCTCATGACCATGCGAGTCGTGAGTGCGTACAGAACCATCTCGTCGGAAGCAGTATGCGTTATCGCAGGTATGATCTACAGGCGGAGAGAAGCCGGAAGAGTACGGAAAATTGTGAGAGTGGAGTCATTGGCTAAGTGGCAACAGGATGGAAAACGGCGGAGAACGGTAGATGGACACATAGACTAATACCGATCGTTTCGACCTGGGTGAACAGAAAACACGGAGAAGTCAATTTCCACCTAACGCAGTTCCTGGCTGGCCACGGCTGCTTCAGGAAATGCCTGCATCGATTTGGACACGCAGCGTCACCCCTCTGTACGGAGTGTGGCAACGTCGATGAAACGCCGGAGCATGTGGTCTTCGACTGTCCAAGGTTCGAGGCAGTGCGAACGGAGATGCCCGTCCTTAACGTGGAGAATGTCGTCGTTGAAATGTGTCGAGAGGAGGGCACTTGGAATGCGGTCTGCAGGGCAGTCACGCAGATTATGTCGGAGCTGCAGCGTAAATGGAGAGAAGAGCAACGATCTAGCAACGCCAGCTAGCGCTGAGAGTTCGACAAGTGCATGAGCACAGCCACCCCCCGAAGTAGTCGCTTCGAAGTGGTCTCGGGGGGATCCAGGCAGAGGAGAGAGTAAGGAATGGGTTTTAGTGGAGCTGCACTAGGCAACTAGTGGATACTACACCGTGCCAACTACACTACAGGCCAGGCTTCTTGAAGCTTTCCTAAACCTTACTATGAAAAAAAAACACACACACACACACACACACACACAGAGAAAATATGAATTGACATGATTACAACCAGATTGATAAACTGCGGATGACTGCTGATAGTGCTGATAACCATGTGATGTAGTCTATTCAAAATAATCTAGAATTCATTTCTGATGATCTGCATGATCAGCGAAGCCTTACATGGCCGCTCACTATTGAAATATATCCAGCTAGATTCAATCAAAGTGTGTTGTTACATCGTACGTGAAATTTACGATTTTAAGAATTGGGAGGAAATTCTATACTTATATCAACATGAACCTATTTGCAATTAGCTTGAGAAGAGGATAGATTGATAGTTCCGCTAGAGTACGGTAGTGTTCAAATTTAACAGAAGTTTAAACTAAGCTAAGGGCCATTAATACGACAATACTAATCAAACGCACACACTACGGGGACCGTCAAGGTTTGGACGTTGATTGGAAATGAAAATTAGTATTACGAGCCGATCTACGAAAATTAATCGAAGCAGATCCGTTGTCTCAATCTCAATGTCATCACGATGAACTGCTGTTCACAAAATTTACGATGCTGATGGAGATTTTACTGTTCTGTGCAACGTGGGGGAACGTTGAATGGGAGGTGATTGTCTGGAAAATGATCGCGTTATATTGTGGTCCAACGAAGGAAAGGGATAGATGTACCGATTGCCGGCAAATTCTACGTAGAGGCTTTATTGCGGAGAATTCCGTTCGCTTCGGGCATGCTGTTTACCCGATGTGATGCCCCAAAATTGGCACATTTGGGATCTACGTCCTCTATTAGCTCGCAGGCACCAGGGGCGTGCTGCTTGTCTAAATTGTTTTAGTGGTAGGCCATGTGGTAATTTCTCGTTCCATGCCCAAACAGCATGCAGTGACATCACTCACGGTGGAATGGCTTGTACCGTTCACAAATCACCACGATGTGGGAAAGCGCCCGAATCCTCTAAAGGTTCTTCTAGCTAGATGAATTCCTTTCCAGGTGGACCAGATACAGCTGGTCATGGTACTTGACAATTCATCTTGAAGATTTGGATCGACTTGAGTCCATGTTGCTTAAATTCATCCCCGACAGAGTGACACGACAACCTTGAGCGGCTTGGTCGCCTCAATATCGTGGGAGAAATACTCCACGATTTTCTGCTTCA